CCCTGCGCGCGGGGTCTGCCCGCACCTGGCGTGGAGCCCACGGCGCTCTGCCCTGCGAGGCGTCGCGGCCGCTGCGCTGTGCACCTGCTGCGCCTGCTGCATCTGCTGCGCCTGCTGCGTCTGCTGCATCTGCTGCGCGCCGCAGCCCGCCTGCCCGCGCGTCCATCGCGCCTCAAACCTGGCGCGCCTCGTGTGGCTTCGCATCCATCGGGCCTCAAACCTGCTGCACCTCCTGTGCGCCACAGCTCTCCTAGCTTCACATCCATCACTCCTCAAACACACTACATCTCCTGTCCACTACACCTCACGTGGCTGTGCATCCATTGCACCTCAAACCTGCTCTACCTCGTGCCTGCAATATTCACCTGGCTTCATGTCCATTGCTCCTCAAATCCTTTGCCCCTCCTGTCTGGCATACTCACCTGGCTTCATGTCCTTTGTCACCGATGTGCGTTGTGGAACCCCCCGGCTGTGCTTCATGTCTGCTGCGCCTCCACGTGCCCTGCCTTGTCCCTGCTACACACCACAGCCTCGTGCCTCGCAGCCCCAGTCCTGCCCCTCGCGCTGGCCGCAGCTCTCACCTCGCCTCGCATCCCCCATCCTGCCCCTCACGCTGACCGCAGCTCTCACCTCACCTCGCACCCGCCATCCTGCGCCTCGCGCCCACCTCACCTCATGCTCCTTGCTCCGCCTCCCCTCACACTCCAGCTGCCCTCATGCTGGTGGTGTCTCTTCCACCACTCACATGTGCTGTCCCTGCACGGGGCCCTCCATATCCTCCCTGCTCGGGACCTTTGGCTCTGCTGCTCCCTGAGGAGGAGCTCAGGAGTGCATGGGATTGGTGGAGACCACCAAGGCCTCCGTCCCCTGGAGCGATGTGGAGCCAGGAGGCACCTGGCAGAGCCTCCTGGGGAGCTGCTTCCCTCAGCCCCAGCACTGCACACCCACAGCCTGGGAATCTCAGCTTTTTCTGTCCCTGAAACAAGCTCCATCCCAGACTAAAATTACACGTCCTGAAGGCAAGAGAGTGGCCACATTTTCAGACAAGGCAAAACGAGCTGAACGCAGCTCCAAATTCAGAAGCAGCCATGGCACAGCGCTCTATGTCTGCCACGCACACCCATTTCCTCTTACTTAGGTTTTAGCGTTTTAAAACTGCTTATATTTGTAGGGGAACAGTAAGGAAGAATAAACATAACTAAAACTCAGACCTTCAGGTATGTGGGTGGAGAATAACTTAGCACTTATTGGGTACATTTGACATGGCCTATAGAGGAACATGACATTCCAGTGTATCTTTGCACAGGAATCTGGCCCATTTCTGCACCCTTTTGTACTGTACGGTGCACATAGGGTTTAAACTTTGGAAAGCAGCACCTGAAGCAAATTCGCCAGCATCTCTGTTTCATTTTTTTGAACCATTTTGATACTCAGGGAGTAAAAGAGACAGTGGTTCAAAAACGATAGTCTCCCCTTCAGGGGTACTGCTACTATAGGAGTTTTTCTGGGCATTAAGCTGTTAAGGAAGATACAAATAGGTGAAAAGCCTTTGTGCTCATTCCCCCTTTCGGAGAGCAGTGTTGTGTAGCACCTGTGGGAAACTTAATTTATCTCCATGCCTGGTCCTAGTGTCCTGGCACAGAAAGCCTTTAACCTGTAAGGGCTCATGAGGATTTTTAAATTTATGACTAATAACCTGAAATGATGCATTGATGCAAATATACATTCGTTATTAATTACAAAACCATTACAAGTCAAAATCGCCCTTGTAACAGATATTTTATGTGTTTCCATCAAAATGAGAGACCTTGCCTTGAAGATCTATTTCAGTGATAAACTGTTGATGGAAAACAGCAAGTCTGTGTAGGCATGAATTGGGACTGAAATGATATTGTTGTCTTGTAATTAATGTGAGAGATTTTTTTACAGCATAATATCATCTTTAGGTGATTGTGCTTTCTGGACTGGATGGCATAAACCACATCAGTATTTTGCCACCACTGGAGGACAGCAAATTTGAAGGCTTATCAGGATGTTCAGTTAATTTAGATAAGTAGGTATAAATTAGTTAAAAAGTCATAATAGCTGTTACACCCGAATGAAGAAAAATCAGTACAAACTAACAAAATTCAGGAAAGAAATCTGACCTACTGCAAATGCAGGCTGCAAATGCAGTCCTTGGAAAAGTCTGACTATCTTTTCCGGCTGACATAAGTTAATGCATGGAGAAAAAGTAGGTTGCTGTTTCTCAGCATAGCCTATAATTCAGAAGTTCCTACTTTATTACTGTTACTTGTGCTGCTGTAAAATCTTTTAAACTACCCTTTTGCAGCTATGTTAGTAGGAAAGTCCTGGTTTACGAGTTTTAAGACTTCCTTCTGCACATTATCCCGCACAGTGTTGCTCTAAGGGCAAGGTCTGCTGCAGATGTCTGTGCCAGCACTGGAATAAAGCAGGAGGGGTTCATCATTCACTGGTGGCAACATATTTATATAAAATAGCCAACATTACACGAGTAATTATTTCCAGACTGGTATTGAATAAATGGGCTTTTAGCAAATGGGCAGTCATAGCCTTTAACACTAACTGATCTATGTGGCAAGCCAAGAAACTAATTAAAAAAGAAAAAGAAAGGGAAAAAAAAAAAAAAAAAAGAACTGGAAGTGAGTTCTGGGAGTGGCCGGACGTATCTCTAATAGCAGGCTCCAGAGTCTCTTTCAGACACTTTCCCAAGGTTTCCTGGCTTTTTTTTTTTTTTTTTTACCACCAACCCCTCTCTGTCTCTCTAATCAGGAGGAAATGGGCTTTGCATAGCCTTTGTCATGCCTTGAAAGTGCAAGCTGCAGTTTTACTTGAAATCCAAGGCCGCTCTAAATGAAACACTTGGTTTGGTTGCAGTGTCCCATTGTGCTCCCCGGACGGGAGGACGGGAACGGGAGCGCTCACAGCCAGGTGGCTCCAAGGCCCTGACTCCGCGAACAGGGGCAGATGCAGTTCGGGGAAGGCATCGTCTCCCTAGCAGCAACACTCAGCGCTTAGCGCTGGGTGATCTCAAAGTATCGTGCTGATCTCAACTCATCTTCTAAACATCCCTGCTAGCTTGACATCAACAACAACAACAAAAAACCCCTAATTCTAAAGATAGGGAAACTGAAAGATGGAGGCCAAAAATTTTAAGCTTGCATGTCTAAAATGGGCTATGTAGATTCAACTGGCTGGCTGGGAACTCCAAGGTCAAGACCCTCATGAAACTTGTTTTCGTATTGCCTGCCATGCTTATCTTCAACAATCTGGTTTGAAAGTCTTGACTAAGTAACTTGCCCGAATCTAAATCATGGGAATCAGTAGATGAACTGGGGTGGGAACAGCAGTGGCTCTCAGCTCAGACTGTGCCTTTTCCCTGGCCCTGGTGGGGTAGCAAGGCTGGAAGCAGCTGGGATAACCCTAGTTTTTGCAGGGCATTTCCATGGAGAGGAGACAGGTATTCCATGCAGGTTTGCACATGAACAGGGGGTATGGGGAATTTAGCTCAGGCTGCCTGCACCAAGCCAGAATAATCATATTTAACACAGAGCTGCCCAAGGAGCACCCAAGGCTCCAAGCTCCCAAGGCAGCAAGTCTATCACCAACTCCGTCCCTTTTGGCCAGTGCTAGGGCAAGTGACAGGTTCTGTAAAGCTCTGAGTCGCTTATTTGGGTAGCGCAGCCCAGGATGATGCTGCTCCTCCCTTTTCCCTTTCTGAGCCAGGCTCTTGCCTGTTGCTCATACCACATTGTACAGCATTTCCTCAAGGAAACCAAGGGAATGTGGCAGCTCCCCCTAAGGACTGCTCTGTCCACGATCCTCCCAGACACAGAATCTGTTTCTTTGACTGTCAGCGTTATTGTGAATGAGACTAAGTAATGACTAAAGCAACGCCTTTGCCTGCCCCCGTGTTCTGAGTGTGGTAGGGTCTCCTGGAGAAGAAGCCACACACAAGTTAGGGGCTCTCATTTCCAAACCACCACGCGTTGCTAGCTACAGAGAGACCCACGCTGTCCTGCGGGCTCTAGCTCTGGCCGCCTGTGCACGTTTTGCAGGTGATGATAACAGAGTGGCTCTCAACTCACTTGACTGAGGCTTGCTCACCCAGAAAGAAGACTGGAAGCTGACGGGGAGACACTGAATGCCCAAAGTTAACTTCCTCTATGGATGGGCCTCCCCATGCCCTTTCTCTGCCCTGGCTTTTCTTGATCAGACTCTAGAACAGAGCATAAATGAAGAAGCAGCTGCCTGGGCATCTCAACATCCCCTTTTCTCGTTAAAGCATGGTTAAAGTTAGAGCCTCGCTCCTGCAGCAAGCCAGTGGCAGACACTGAGACGCTGTGTGCAGACACCCAGGCGCCCACATCTCCTGCAAGATCCATGATCTTCCCGCTGCCTCTCACATATCCTGAACATTTCCTCTTTTAGGTCAGAGATTTTTCACCATTTATCCTGTGTGCCAGGATCAGGATGCAAAGAAGAGGCAGAATTCCTCTGCAGATCTACTTTTAGCAAAGGGCATTGCCAGAATTAACAAAGTATCCAGTTAAAATAAAGAGCAAAGCTCAAGCCTTTAGTTTAACCCACCAAATCTCCACCTGTAGTAGCTATCAGGCTCCACAGAGTGGAGCAGGCTTAATATAAATGGATCAATAATTCCTCCGCCTTACCTCCTCCGTAGTGCTCGAGTATTGAGGAGTAGTTGTCACAATCCAGGGTTTCTCTGTTACTGCAGATTTCAAGTCAAAATAGAGATTGTCAGTGACATTTTTGCTGAAGTGCTCAGTTACATTTCTGTTGAGCGTCTGCGTGCTACTCCTAAGCAGACTTCCAGGCCTAGATGTAATAGCGTTAAAAGGGGAGGATGTAGGAATCGTACTCCATGCAGAAGTTTCTGCATCTTGAAGATCTAAGGCAAATAAAGGAAAATAATTAAAATCACCTTTACATTTTTATCATCGATTCCCTAGATTCTAATAAAAGTGGCTAACATAACTCCTAGGTAGTATAAGTATACCCTTGAGTTCTGTGATTTTTTTTTTTCAGTGCAAACAAATATTTTGTATCAAGATCAAACTTTGTGCAAAGCATCAAAAAAAAATATCTGGCCATGACCAAAAATCTGCCATGGCCAGATTCTGATCTGCCTTCTGTTGGTATAAGTGCAATATAATTTTATTCAAGTTAACGCAGTTCCTTGTGGGACATTCTTCACGCGTTTTTAAAGCAGTCCCGTGCAGAGACCGTGCGACTGCTTGGCTGGTGTCTTTCCAAGGTTCAGCTAACAATCATGTCAGTCAGCTGAAGTGCCTGCACATTTAACTGTGCATTTGCTTTTTTAGTCACGTATCCTTCAGAGAACGCCAAAGTTGCAATTAGAGCGCAGGAAAGATTTTACTACACATTTTTCCTCCCCGTTTTCGGGGCTCTTCCTCCCCATTGGTATGTATCTAATATCCTTTCCTTGTGGCGGGGAGGGCAGGGGTCAGGCTGCGGCGGCCTCTCCACCTGGGAGCGCCGCGTTCCAGCGAAGCCGCGGGAGCCGCTCCCGGCCCCCGCCCCCCCCCCCGCGGCCCTTGCGGAGCTGGCGCGGGGCCGGAGGTTCTTTGTCTGTCCTTGAACTGGGGTCTCCTGCATGACAGGACCTTGTTTTGCTGCGGAGCCACTGGGCTGGTTGCCATTTATAACAATTTTAGCTCACAAGCCCTCTAAAAAAAAAAAAAAAAAAAATGGACCTTCTGGGCCTACAAAGGCACCATCTACTTAAGATTACTTGGCATGCAATTATGTCTTAGGCAGACAACCTGTGATTAATTCTTACCCAAAGGACCAATGAGGGAGCTGCCATTAAGTCAATGTTATCCCCCTTTTTTTGGGGTATATGTGTAAATTCATACATTAATGCATTTCTTTACTGAAACCTGGAGTACTCTCATTGCTATCCATAAATAAAAATGCGATAGTCAGCCCTGGTAAGTGACACTTTCATGAAGGCATTTCCTGCTCTCACAGAAGCGTGTTCACCTGGTAGGCAGCTCGGGGACCTTTTGAAAAAGATTTGTTTGGCAAGGGGGATGTTACTCACTTTAAACATTTCCCTTCCTTTTATCTAACTTTGCTTCTTTGGGAATAAAAATGTCCAAGGGTTCATATCATTACAAAGAAACGTTGATTGCATTTTTTTTTTTTAAATCAAGATGCTGAAAACAATACTGTGGATCAACAAGCCTACCCCAGTCCAGACTCCCTGCATCTAAAGCGCCTGTTTCTGGGGATCTCCTGTTGGCCGGGGCTCTCTGAAGGGCTGCAGGAGCCAACTAGGATGGTGGCCACAGGGACCAGGATGACCTGAGTCCGCTGCCTCTTGGGCATCTCCAAGACCAGCAGGGAATAGGCTGCTGCTGGAAACACAGCTAAAGAAAGTGCACCTGGGTGGTGAGCAGCCGCTTAGGGAAAAAAGGGCACTCCGTTAGGTGCCTAAATATAGAATTACACACCCAACTTAAAAACACATTAAAAAAAATCTTGGCTTTATTGACAGACAAATAGCAGCGATTCCAACAGGAAGACGTTGCATTCCAGTACCAATTGTGTTTTAGGGAAGCTGCTGCTCCATAAAAGGGAAGCTGGTGCTGCCAGCAACAGCGGCGGGACGCTGCAGGCAGCGGGTGGGCAGTGTTCCCAGTGCAGGAGCTGCAGGGACACTCCAGCCCCTCCGAGGTCGGGGCCCCCGCAGGGTTCCCCCCGCGCTAGCAGGTACTACAGCTCCGCAGTCGGTCACAGCACAACCCGACAGTGCTGAGCTCAGCGCTCTCCTGCGTGTCTACCAAAGAACCAAAGTCTGATGTCAGTCTTGTGACCCATGGATGGAAATGCCTCGTGCATGGGTCCCTAGCTGTGCACACCTCAAGAAAAGCAGGATCCAAGTTTATCGTATCTTTCTAAGGAAAGTCACCATAGTCCTAGCCTGAGAGCTCACATCCTTTCTTAAATAGCAGGGTTTTATAGAAGAAAACTGCATGTTATAGGACCCAAGCAAGCAGGCTTCTACATATCCTGCCTTCCACATTAGTATCTCTTTTTAAAGAAGAAAAACTCAGCTCCTGTCTGGACATCAGTAAAGAAATCTCCACAGTGGGATTTTTTGGCAGGGCTTAGCACTGTTTTAGCAGTCGCTTTGGAAATCAATCATAACTCTGTTCATGGGAACAGCGCGGCGGAACCAACACTGCCATTGATCACTAGTGGCTGAATGATATACAGTGTGTGAACACACCGTTGCAATCATCATAACGCACCCGGCAGAAATTATGGGCTATGACTAAGGGCGCATTTCATGCCTGGTGCGCGCTGCAGACGGCCTCCATGTGCACAGCAGCAGGCCGTTTACAAGAAAAGGAAATCCCTCAGTTTGGCACAGACGAGGGGCGAGGACGCTGCTGCTGGGCTGCTGCTTCATGGCCAAGCCCTGTGGAGCAGCTTCCAAGCTCGGAGCAGCCACCACCGTGCAGCGTCCTGAGCTCCCCGGCTTCCTGCTGCTCCCTAGCATCGGGCCAGGGTAAGACTGGATATAACTAATGCCTTTCTGATCTGAAATGTTGCTGGGGTTAGTGATGCTTGTATCTCATGTCACTGAGGTAAAACCGCCCCAGACTTCAGTCTACTCACAAACTGCCCTTATAACCTGCCTTTTTGAAAATGCTGAAGTAGACACCTCAAAGCTCCCTCAGCATCAGTGCTAGCAGAATGTCACACAGAATCACAGAATCACAGAATCCCAGAATGGTTGAGGTTGGAAGGGACCTCTAGAGATCATCTAGTCCAATCCCCTGCTCCAGCAGGGACACCTAGAGCACATGGCACAGGGTGGCATCCAGGCGGGTTTGGAAGATCTCCAGAGGAGACTCCACAGCCTCTCTGGGCAGCCTGTTCCAGGGCTCTGGCACCCTCACAGTAATGAAGTTCTTCCTCACATGGAGGTGGAACTTCGTGTGTTTCAACTTGCACCCATTACCCCTCGTCCTGTCACTGGCCACCACGGAGATGAGACTGGCCCCATCCTCCCTACAATCACCCCTCAGCTACTTGAACATGTTAATCAAATATCCTCTCAGCCTTCTCTTCTCCAGACTAAACAGGCCCAGCTCACTTGCTTAGTCTTTCCTCATATAACAAATGCTCCATTCCCTTAAGCATCTTTGTGGCTCTCCGCAGAAGCTCAATGTCCCTGCTAACCGCGATATTACAACCTATAGTTCAACTCTGCCAGCTCTAGTTCTGAGAGTCCAAATAATTCCAGCTTGCCCTGGACACTTACTTTTCATCACTGAAAACTCCTTAGACTTCATTAACTGCGTGGATTGGGTCTCCACTGAAGAGAGCTTACAAATTTAGCTACTATGTAGGCACCTAGGACGTGACTCACGTGCCTAACTACAGGTATCCACCACTATGTGAAATGCTCTAGGGAATCCACAACATAAGCAAAAGGCTCACATAGGAACTAAGGGAGATCTATATCCCAACTATGCCTTATCGCTTCTGGGCAAGCAATCAGAGGCCAGGTGGGATATCCTGGAGCATCTCAAATGGCAGGAAGCACCTATGCTGAGATAACTAAATCTGGCCCTTCCTTTAGACACCTGCTTTCAGATGCCTAGAAGCTGAACCCTACTCCAGCCTCCACATAGAGATCCATATAAAATAAAGGGAAAGTTTTTTTTTTTCCCTCATGAAAATTATCAGTATAGTTGCCAGGAGCTGGCTTCTTTGTTTGCACTTGCAGCAGACGATCAAATAGTACGACAGAACTAGCCATCCTCTTGGTCTCTTTGGGGAGCTGCTCACAGCACTCCATTTTCCCCCATGACATTGTAATCTTTCTGTTCTATGTGTACTTTCTGTTCTATGTCTCACTGTCAGGCTTTTAAAATGTACCAAAATAGAAGATCTGGCCTACAGGTGCAGATTTTTTCATTTCTTTTAAAAACACATTTATCTTTGAGGTCCTCTCAGAATAGTATTGGATTGTATACGAAGACTCGCTGTTGCATCTAAGGATCTGAAGTTGATTCTGAAGTACTGTGGCCAGTTCTGGGCCCCACAGCACAAGAGGGATGTGGAGCTGCTGGAGAGAGTCCAGCGCAGGGCTACAAGGATGATCAGGGGCCTGGAACATCTGCCCTATGAGGAGAGGCTGAGGGAGCTGGGCCTGTTCAGCCTGGAGAAGAGAAGGCTGAGAGGGGATCTAATCAGTGTCTATAAGTACCTCAAGGGAGGCAGCGAGGAGGATGGTGCTGGCCTCTTTTCACTGGTGGCCACCGACAGAGGTAGAGTTAATGGCCACAAACTGAAACACCAAAAGTTCCACAGGAACTTAAGGAAAAATTTCTTAACAGTGAGGGTGACAGAGCACTGGAACAGGCTGCCCAGAGAGGTTGTGGAGTCTCCTTCTCTGGAGATCTTCCAAACCCGCTTGGACGCAGTCCTGTGCCACATGCTCTAGGTGACCCTGCGTATGCAGGGGGGTTGGACTAGATGACCTCCAGAGGTCCCTTCCAACCCTAAGCATTCTATGATTCTATGATTCCTTATTCCAGGCACAACTGAGCAATGCTCAGCCATTTATTGCTTAGATCAAAGAAGAATCAAGCCATTTTTAATATTTAATGGATTCACATAGATGCTAGAAAGCTCTTTTACTTACAAACCTCTCTAAAATAATAATTTAGGGAGATAAAAACAGGTTTGTCTGAATGGTTTTCAGGAAAAAAAAGAATTGGGTCAACTCAAAATTGCCAGTTGAATGAAACTAATGAGTCTCACAATTCTAATTTATTCCAGAGAAATGGGTAAAGGCTACACATTAAAAAAAAAAAAAAGAGCTGTGAACCTGTGTATAGATTGTTG